TCTGGCTTTGCTCTGACATCCGCCACCATGAAGCTGCCTCAGTGGAGACAGTGTGAGGATATCTTGTATCCCTCATCACATGGAGTCATCCTGATGCTGGCAACACTGACTGCATGGAAATGCAAGTCCTGTTTCCTCCTGAACAGACACCCAGACAAAAGCTGGAGTAGCCCTTTGACAAAAGGGAAGTCCCTGTCAAATAAAGTCTGACTGGCCTGAGAGCCGCCTCCTCTGGTCCACTGCTGATCTGCGGCCAACCCACACCCTCACTCCTTTGCTTCCCTCAAAACTCCAGGCTGTAACTTAAAGGAAAACAATGCTGTGTTCCAGATTTCCTCCTGATATCCCAAATCTGATATTGTGTTACTCTCTGTTTTTGCAGTTATGTTGGTGATGCATAGTCACCGACCAGCTATAAATTGAAGAGACATCCTGTGCATAAAACAGACACTGCATCATTGAAAGCTGACATACAAACACATGGGGAGTTCATGAAAATAAATAAGCTTAGTGTCAGTGAGTTTAAGTGGGAAAGTTCCTATATTTCTGGGTGTGGAGGTTGACCCATGTGTGTTTGGGGAAATGTTTGACTGGCACCTAGCTTAAGTGTGTGAAAGTGAGGTAAAACAGTCTCCTGTGTCCATCACTGTGTCTTTGTGACTCCCTTTTGTATGCTCCCTTCCAGAGGAATCCACAGTAAAGATGCACTGTTGAGGGGCAGCACCTTTTTTTTATCCATCTTGGGAGTAATACAGAATGAGACACAGGAATAGCACTATCTACCCCTTTGTAGGACAAGAGGGGTCACTGGTGATGACACATGAGAAAATAAATATAATGACAGGCTGCGCTCAGGGAAGGGAAAGCTGTCTGAGTTTTGGTAGGGTTAGCACCTGCACTTCTTTTTTGGCCTCCTCTCTGCAGGAATGACTTAAAGCCCCACCTGCCCCCATGTGGGGCTGGCCCATATCCCTGTCATATTGGGTAAACAGGGACAAAAGCAACGCGGCAGAGCATCAAAGTCGTGGAGGGCAGAGGCAGAACAGGTCACAACTGGTGCTGCTAACTGAGGAAGGGGCCTGGCTCTGTGCTTCACAAGGCTGCACAACTGAATGAAAGCCACTGGCAAACATCATGAAACAGCTCCAATATTGATTTGTTAACAGGGGTCGATCCTGACTGCTCTGGCAAATCAACACCAGAGTACAAATCCAATAAATCAGAGAGGTTCAGCTCAAAAGAGAGAGAGAGAGCTGTAACAAATGCCTGGAAACAAATGAAGCTCAGAAACAAAAATGTTAAAAGACAGAGAACAGTGGGGGTGTCAGAGAAAGGGCAAGTCTCCTCTGGTATGATGGTCTAATCTGACCTGTGTGCTGATTCACATGCTATATACCCCAAACCTGTCTGCACTCGTCCCACATCTCACTGACAGGGGATCTGGAGCACACACATTCCTCAGCTCCACAAAGAGAAAAAGAGCGACGGACACGGAGAAAGACAAAGATACAAAAAGGAGATGTGAGATAAATTCAGATCAAGATAATGAGAGGCAACAGGGAAAAAGCACATGAGAAAATAGAAAGAAAAGCTTTCTGGGACGGGAGTAAAATGAGATGGGGGATATAAGAAGGATATAAAACATTCATTGGGAGGTGAAAAGTTGTCAAGCCCCACCATTTCTCCTCCTCCTTTATTTGGCTCAGAGATAGAGACGTATAGATAACAGCTGAGCTTGCATCCACATCTGCCAAAACTGACTGATGATTCAACCTACAGTCACTACATTCAGCTCGGCCCAGAACCTTGGGAAGAGCTTCCCGAGAGAAGAGACTCTAGGGGACCATTATGGGCTTCTACTGGTCTGGGTGAGCTCACTGAGGCAGCCCGGGGCCATGGAGGAAACGAATGATTGGAAACGCTGGGCCTCTGGTATGGCCTGCCTCTGTCTGATTACAGACCGAGATGTTATTAAAAGTGGGACAGACTTAGAGAAATAGAGTGAGCTAAAGTAAGGAAGAGAAAAAGAAAGGTGCCTGACTTGGAATCAACTAAGGGAATTAGATGAGAAATAACAACAGAATCCAATTGCAGGAGTTTAGTCGGTCTATAACAGAAAATGACTGCCTTTGTCCAAACACGACATCCTGTAACAGTTAATGCAAGTCTCCTCAATAAATCATTCAAACCGAGTGTGACTGCAGAAGACAAATGAGATACATCTTTAAGGACAGTCTGCTTTTCAGACACTGCTGTCTGTGTGTGTGTCTGAAGGAGGACAGAGCATCGGCAGTCCGGGAGACACAGGGTGACGGCGGGGCCAAACAGGTCCCAGAACTCTGCGACGCCACAGCCCCGATGACACCAACGTGGTGTGGGATCAGAACAAAGGAGGAATGAAAGAAGAGGCCCCTGGGGATCAGACAGTCACATCCCACAAAGCTCTGTTTACCAAGGACACACATCCCACCCTCCCTTCCTCTCCCCATCGTCTACGTTCTCCAAAGCCCGACCCTCCAAAAGCACCAGGGCCGGGACCTGGGAGACAGCGCTAATTCTAGCCTGAGGCTTGTTGGCCGAGGACACAAACAGAGAGCTGAGAGGGGAGAGAAAAGGAGGGAGGTAGAAAGATTGAGACGGAGGGGAGTGAGAGTGGTGACTGAATGGTACAGTATGCAAGACCCATCTTAATTGGAGATTGTTCTGCAGTGTCTTGTTTTTCCTGGGAATCTGTGAGGGGGAGGGACAGGAGGGTGGGGAGGGACGGCTGTTTCCCAAGGTCCTGAACAGTGGGATTAACCACAGGGGCGAAACTCAATAGCGGCCTCGGACACTGGAAACAGATCCCCGGGTATCGCCACCA